GCCAAAGAGGATAGATCCGATCGGACGCAGCATGAGCGTGACCGAGATCCCCCACGTAATGTCCGTGTTGCTCTTGTTGAACTCCTTGGCGAGATCCGAGAGCGTCATCGAGACGGTGAAGAAATCAAAGGCGTCCCACGTCCAGGCCGCAAAGCCAACACCAAAGTTGAGCCACTGGAGCCGGTCGAGCGTCTTGAGGAGCGCGATGGGGTTGGGAACCGGTGCCATGGGCGGCTTGAGCGACGAGACGCGCGTGCCGAGGTACTCTTTGGCTGTCATCTTGGGCTGCGCGGCCTTGAAGGGCACGACGTCGGGGCTGCCCGTCGGTGTCTGGACGACCGCATAGTTGTTCTTGGGAGTCGATGCCATGGGCGAAGCAAAAGAGAGAGTGAGTTTTGTGAACCGATCGACGAGTTTGGTCGCCGAGGTAGCTTCAACCAACGTGGCGCGGAGCCAAAGACGAGGATGGGGCGCTTGCAAGGTTGTTCGCGCCAGAATGTCTATAGCCAACAGTTGGTTGGCGGCTTCCCGTTGACCAGAAAGCACATGGTTGTTTCCTTGCACCAGCTGCTCGAGCAGACGTCCTCATGGTATCTGGGGCTGTGTTGGTGAGGTCGCTACTAAGCTTACAGTGTTAGTGCGCACCATAGCTACCCGGGTAAAGGATTCGGGGGTATTAGAACTTGACGTTCCGGGGTTCAACGGACGTAGGGGCGGTCGTGGATGCATAATGCGATTCAAGGGAAAAGAAAGAAATTGCATTACGGTAAATTCGTGCCAGGGTTCGACATGACATTGTAAACGGCAGATTTGAACCGTGCATGCTCGACCCAAAGTGGTCGCGAAAAGGCGAGTGAGATTGTGTTGTAGAGACACTGCTGCCCACATGGCGCTGCTGCACGCATCACCCGCTCGTTGTCTAGGAGCATTGGTTGGTACTCCTGCTCCTGGGCCGTCTCCAATCGCTGCTTCGATCGGCGCACTGCATGTCCCACGGACGCACTTCAACATCAAATACCAGTCCCCAAATTTCCCCATCCCTTGGGACTGGAGCGTCTTAAAATAATCCACCAAGAACCCATCACGAGGTGACGACTCCCACTGCCGCTAGCAATCGGTGCATCTTTCCATTTACCGGTAGAGGAATAGCAACGACAAATGCTTGAAAGAGTCGTGAAAGTAATCTTGCCCGGCGAGTTGCACGGGCCGTCGTAAAAGTCGTAGCGGCTACTCCATGGTCGGACAGGCAACCTCAAGATCGGACAAGAAACGCGCCAACGAAGCTTCTTGAAGTACAGTAGCCGTCGTGCAGATACTAGCACATCCACGCCGTCGGAGGTTTCAGATATCAACCGCGCTCGGATGGTTTCTGCCAAGCGCCAACGACGTCGGACCAGATGCCGCCGCACTGGCTGACGAAGGTCAACGCAAGGGCCTCTCGTCGCGTCATCAGAAAGGCTGCCAAGCGTGTACCGTAGATGGTTTTTGATTTTGGTACCCTGCTCTATTTCATGAATCGCGCAGCTGCAGGACAAGAGATCGGACATGGACCTCGCCTTTCTGGTCGGACAGACGCATCCCCAACAGGCAGGCAATATAAGTTCGTTTACTAGTATATAATTTAATTGGGCGAGGACTCTGGAACCCATTAGAGGGTGCGTCATTAGTGGCCTTGGGCCACCTTCAACGACGTGGCAGCGTGTGCGGCTAGAATTCACCGCGTCAACATCTGGTTCGATTTGATGTCGATTGTGACAGGTGGGACTGACCCATGACCCAAGTATGGGTGACTTTGTTGCTAACATGCTGTCTTGGACGCCCGCACAGATCCTCTCCGCCGGATTCTTCTCAAAAGACCCGCGACTGTAGTATAAGATTGGTAGGGACACGAGTGACCAACGATTTCGTCCCAAAGACAGGGATGGGAAGCGTGCGAAGCGAGTTCGAATTTCGAGGCAAGGGAAGGAATAAGTGGCACGACGTGGCGATCTGTTGCGACCAAGATGACGCCTTGGCACCGACCATGCGCGAGGGTTGCTCCGACCTTGAAGTTCGTTCACAGACCTCTTAAGACCTCGCAACTTGTCGAGCCAAACTGTTGTGCCGGAGGCAACACCACGGATGTCAAACATCATGTTCTTTCTCTCTCTTCGCTCGTCGTCGGCCACATACTTTGCCTCGTCTGACACCGTCGGGACAGGCACTATTGCGCAGCACGATATGCATGACTTCAAGTACACCTGTGCAGGGCCCTCTCCTGCGATAACGCCTTGGATGGCGAGCGGAAAGGACGTAGCAGCCGCTGGGAGGTTCAACTAGGTGCGAACTTGAAGATGGATGTACGTATCATCGACGCGCCATACCGACGTCAACTGGTCAACCGATCCAGGCCTTACAGATCCAGAGGTGCCCATCAACCAGCCGTGTCTTTGGCTCCGCGCCACGTTGGTTGAAGCTACCTCGGCGACCAAACTCGTCGATCGGTTCACAAAACTCACCATTTGCCTTGTTCACGGCATCGACTCCCAAGAACGACTATGCGGTCGTCCAGACACCGACGGGCAGCCCCGACGTCGTGCCCTTCAAGGCCGCGCAGCCCAAGATGACAGCCAAAGAGTACCTCGGCACGCGCGTCTCGTCGCTCAAGCCGCCCATGGCACCGGTTCCCAACCCCATCGCGCTCCTCAAGACGCTCGACCGGCTCCAGTGGCTCAACTTTGGTGTTGGCTTTGCGGCCTGGACGTGGGACGCCTTTGATTTCTTCACCGTCTCGATGACGCTCTCGGATCTCGCCAAGGAGTTCAACAAGAGCAACACGGACATTACGTGGGGGATCTCGGTCACGCTCATGCTGCGTCCGATCGGATCTATCCTCTTTGGCATTGCGGCCGACCGGTACGGCCGCAAGTGGCCATTCGTTGTCAACAACATCCTCTTCATCGTGCTCGAGCTCGCGACGGGCTTTTGCAACACGTTCACGCAGTTTATGTGGGTGCGCGCGTTCTACGGCATTGCCATGGGCGGTATGTGGGGCAACGCGGCGGCGACGGCCCTTGAAGACGCCCCGCAACGGCCCGCGGTCTCATTTCGGGCATCTTCCAGCAAGGCTATTCGTTCGGGTACCTCCTCGCGGTCGTCTTTGCCCGTGTGTTTGTCAACACGACGAGCCATGGATGGCGTCCGCTCTTTTGGTTTGGCGCATGTCCGCCAGTCCTCATCATTCTCTTCCGCATGATGTTGCCCGAAACGAAAGCGTTCACAGAGCGCCACCTTCGTCGCGCGGACGCAGCCTCGTCGACGTTTGTTTCGGAAGGCAAGCTTGTGCTTCAGCGTCAGTGGGTCCTTCTCTCCTACCTTGTGCTGCTCATGACTGCCATGAACTTTCTCTCGCACGGTTCGCAAGATCTGTACCCAACGATGCTCAAGAACACACTCTTGTTCAGCGCGAATGAGGTCACAGTGACGCAGGTCATCGCCAACGTCGGTGCGATCGTGGGCGGCTCGGCCATGGGCTACTACTCGCAGGTGTTTGGCCGCCGCTTTAGCATCCTCGCGTGTGTCGTCGGCGCAGCTTGCGTTCTGTACCCGTACTGCTTCTCGACGGGTCATGGCATCATCGGCGCCGCCTTCTTCATGCAGTTCTTTGTCATGGGCGCATGGGGTGTGATCCCGATCCACCTCATGGAGCTCGCGCCGCCGTCGTACTCGACGTTCATCGTCGGCACCTCGTATCAGCTCGGTAACCTCATCTCGGCGACCGCGTCGACGATCGAGGCGTCGCTCAGCGAAGTGTACCCGCTGCCAGCGACAGAAGCCGGCGTGGAGCGTTTTGACTATGCCAAGGTGATTGCACTCTTGTTGGCGATCGTGCTCGGGTCGTTGGCGCTGCTGACGTTCATCGGGCCCGAGAAGCGCGGCCAAGAGTTTGATCACGACGAGACCCTCGACGGCCCGATCGTGGACGACGACGACGGTGACGTTGAAAAGCCCAAGTTGTAGAGAAAGGGGCGAGCCTGTAGGGGTATATGTGAAATGAATTCGAGTATTGTGTGATAATATTTGGCAAGTGCAAAGTGGGCAAGATATGTGCAATGTGGCACCACGTGGACGTCGCACAGTTTGCGGCTAAAACTCAAAAGGCAATTGACGTGTGAATGGATCCCGGTTACGAATGCTGGGACCATGGCCAGAACCAGGCTATTTGGCTGCAGTTGGTTGGCGCAATTTATGCTGCAAAAACTGTTAAAATGCTGCATCGAAGATTAGGGTTCTGCTTGACGGCATGCACGAGCACGGTGCGGCCACTCTATACCTCAGCCTTGTGCCACATCGCGACAGGCCAATGACGTGGCATCGTTGTTGTTGAAGTGAGTCGTCTATTACAATAGATAAAACTATGCTAAATAGAATTGTCGGACTTACTTCGTTGTGTACACTCGGTTGAGGAACTTGATCTAGGCAGGCGGAAGCAGGAGCGCGATCCGCGGGACAAGGTGCTGGCGCGGCCACTCGTCTTGGGCGAGGAGCCGGAGAAGCCGACGAAGAGCAGGCTGCTCGGGCTTTTGAACGAGGCTGTGGTATGACGTGGCGCCGTCACAGCGCGCTTCGACACGTTGTAGTGGTTATAATGCTAACATGACATGGTCGATAACCAGTGTAGTCATCGGCCTGTTGCCACCTCATGCTGGTAAGCAACGCCAAGCTCAATGCACTCGACGAAGCGTGCAAATAAAATGGCTCTCTTTAGTCGGTTTACGGAGCCAGCTTGATCGGAGGCAGCGCAACGCAGGGCACAGCGGGGGCCACAGTGGGCGTCGTGACGCAGCTCGTCCGGGCGACGCAACCGTAGACGCCATTGTCCAAGAGCTGGCACTCGGATCCGCGCGGCAGTCCCGGTTGCGCCACGGGGCACGCGCCGTTGCGAATGCTTGCCGAGCAGTAGCCTGCCGCGTTGGCGCGGGTGCAGTACGAGTCCATGCCTACGACACTAATTGACGTCCAGCCGTCGCTTGTCGGGAAGAGGCACGTGTCGAGTGCTGGGATTGTCTGGTCGAGAACGCATGGAAACGCGTCGCCTGAGCTGCTACCGAGCGAGCCGGATTCGAGGCTCGGCGGACACGTCGAGCGCGCCTCGCACGCATACACGCCTGTGATGCGGTTCTTCGAGCACGTCGAACCAAACTCGAGGTTCTCTTGTGGCCCGGGGCACGCGCCCAACGAGCTCGGCGAGCACAAGGCGCCGCTTCTCGCGACGCAATAGGCGTAGCCACCGACAAAGAGCTGCGTCCAAGCGGCGCTTGCCGCGCATCCTTGAGGCGGGACGACGCCGGGGCAAGCCGCGAGGACCGACGACGTCGCGGTTGCCGCGACCAGCCACAGCAGCAAGGGTCTTGAGTGCATGGAACTCGTTCAAAAATGAAGTGCAAGAACACGAGTGGGATCACAGCGCTGCCGTTGGCGAGACACAATCTCGCCGGCGCCTTCCAGCCAAACTCGAACGATCTCGAGAGCTATTTTGGCCCAACGCCCGTGGCAGCAAGATCATGCTGCATCTGGTGCACCTATGCCATCGAGTAGTTTTGACCTTGGAGCACGAAGGCAATGCAATGCAAAAGCGCTCGGTGCTTTCAGCATCGAGTTGATAGTTTGAAACATTTGTCGCTTGATGAAGCAGATGCGGAATGCTGGCGGCGTGGACGAAGGTCCGTGGAGGCAGCAAACATGTTTATTTTGGCAATATGACAATATGACAATATGACCACGCACACGTACGATCGGTAGCGAGTACATACAACTTGTAGTGGGTCAAGGGTACGCACATCGGGATTCGTGATACGTTATCCGGATGTATCCGGATAAACCACGACAGGGCACTCGGAATGGACCTTCTTCAAGGCTACGAGTCGGCGACCTCGGACGACACGCCGAGCCCACCGCGCTTGAAGCGCAAGGCTGCGTCATCGCTGGCGCATGCGATCGCCCTCCCGACGCCCAATGCAGCCGCGTACCAGCCCAAACGGCGGGCCGTCGCACGCGCTCCATCCTCCGCGCCGACCGAGAGACCGCCGCTGCCGGCCTTGCTGGACGCCGATGCGGCACCACCCGCCGCCGAATCGAGTGACGCCAGTGTCCCGTCTCGCGAGTTGCAGCGTTGGAGAGCTCGGTACCGTGTCAACTGCGTGCGCTGGAACCCACAGTTCCCAGCACTCCTCGCCACGGCGGGCATGAGTGCGACCATGCACATCTACGATGCGTTTCGCGCCGCTTGCAAGCGGCAACTCGACGGCCTTCATACCGACGCGATCAAGGACGTTCAATGGGCGCTCGATGGGTATGCAACAGATTTTCTTCTCGCGAGCGACATCGCTATGCTGTGGCGTAGGCGGAGCCTCGTGAGCGCCAGCTACGATCATACGCTCGTTCACGTTGATGTCGAAACGATGCAGGCCCGCGCCACGTATGCCGGCGCGCACCGCTTCACAGCGTTGGCCATGCACCCGAGCGATATGCACCTCGTCCTCGCCGGCGACGATGCAGGCTATGTTGTTTGCTGGGACATGCGAGCCAACACTGTCCGAGCGCTCCAGCAGACGTGCGGAGAGGTCCACGCCCTTGCTTTTCTCCCCAAAACTGCCTCGGCCGAAAGCCGTACGCAGTTTCTCTCGAGCAGCACCGTGACCAAGACGAGCGCGGCAGACAAGGCAGTCGCTGTCTGGGACTTTAGCAGCGTACGACGTGTTCGAGTTCGTGGAGGTTGAATATTGACGACGCGTAGGGCGCGCTCATCAAGCAGTGCATCTACAGCCAAGGGTATACGTGCTCGTCCATCAGCGTACACCTGTCGCTGGGTCGTCTACCATCCATCTCATGCTGCGGTACAGGTGCACCCGACGGCGCCATACCTCGCGCTCCAATCCCACGGCAACTACATGGCGACCGTCTCGACGCGGTCGCTCAAGCTCTCCAAGGTCAGACTGTGCCGTGGTGTCCATCGAACCGTCTTTGTTTCTAGACGCGCTACGAAGGCCATACGAGCCAAGGCTACGGCATTCACTGCTCGTTCAATGCCACTGGCGCCCTTCTCGCGTCCGGCGATGTCCATGGGCACGTCTTCGTCTACGCGTCGCAGCGGCCGCGCGTGCTCTTCTCCGCACGGCCGCACACCAACGTGTGCATGGCCGTGGAGTGCCATCCGCGATACCCCCACGTGCTGGCGACCGGCGGCTGGGACAATATTGTCACTGTGTGGACATGAAGGTGTCGCATGCAATCGTACGAACTTGTAAAGACGCACTGGATGGAAAATCTTTCATATATTATATATATTTAGTTGGTAGTACCAAGGCTATAAGCTTGACGCACATGTATGGCCTTGGTAGTACAAGCCAGTATTATAATTTCGAGTAAGCCGCTGCGACCCACGACGCGAGCTGCGGAAGCGTCGCGCGCTGTGCTGGGTCGGGCTGCAGAGCGCCTGCAACAAGACGCTGGTACGGCGCCGGGACATGGCGCGCCGCCAACTCGGCCACCACCTCGTCGACTGGAAACGAACGTGAGTCATGGCAAGGTCTATACGAAATATTGGCATACCGGGGCGGACGGCGACGCGGGGCTCGTTGGTGCCCAGAAGGAAGGCCACCGCGACGGCGCCAAGCGACCAAATGTCGGCCGACCAATCGTACACGACGGGCTCGCCGAAAAAATACCTGCGCACCTCGGGTGCCATGAACGACATGGTGCCGGCGGCATGACGCGTCACAAGGGCCGTCTCGAGACACGTTGAGACGCCAAAGTCCGAGATCTTGACCACGCCGTCGCTCTAACAGCACGCTGTTAGATACTACGGTTTTAGAGGACTCGTCGTCGTACATTGAGGAGGAGGTTGTCGGGCTTGATGTCGCGATGGACGATCGCGTGTTTGTGAATCTCGGTCAGACCCGAGCAGAGCTGCAAAAAAAGCCGGGCAAAGACGTCATCGGTCACGCGCCGTCCGTCCTACGCGTCTTCTCAACCACACGACAACGGACATTGCGACGACATACAAGGTTGGCAATGTAGTCGTGCAGCGTGCCATTGTTGCAGTACTCGAGCTCGAGGTAGACGTAATGCAGATGACCAATCTACAATAATCATGAGTCGTCATTATCACCCGTCGAGACGACGAGAGGCCATAATACCTGCTCGATAAAGTACCCGTCCAGACGCACTACGTGCGGACTCTTCAACTTGGAGAGCAAGTTGACCTCGTTCATGGCCTCTTGGAGTTTGTCGCTTTCCTTGAGCACGCACAGCTTTTGGGACGACCGTCTACGACACACATACATGTAGGAACTCTGGTAAAACACTGCTGCTGGCGCACCGCTTCATGAGCATGACCTCGGAAAAGTTGCCAGAGCCCAAGGTCCGCACATACTCGTAGCGGAGGAGCTTGGACGGCTCGAGGAGCGACGCGACGCGGTTCGCCCAGCGGGCCGCGCCGTCCATATCAACGATCGCATTGACGAGCTCCTGCACATTCTCGGTCGCAAGCAACGACGTCTCGGGCGCGTCGACGACACGCGCACCGATCGAGATGCTGCGCAACGCATGGCTAATTCGGCGGACCGCCTTGGGGCCATAGTGGCCCAAGGTGGCACTCGCGACGGCCAGCGACATCGAATGCAGCGGCACAGATGGCCGGTTCTCGTCCGACATCTTCGTTGTGGCGACGATTGCTTGGTGCGCGGGGCGCATGAACGGTACCTTTTGAAAGCACACGCCGCAGAGGACGCGCGTCGCATTGTCATTGTTGATGGCCATCGTCTCAAAGCAGGGCGCGCAGACGGCGTGGCGGCAGTAGAGCTGGACAAGCGCTGCGTCGGTAAACGACTGGCAGAGCGCGCAGCCGAGCGCGCCCCGCTCGATGGTCGCGAGCTGGTCGTTGAAGCCGACAAGCGACGCTTCCAGCGACACGCAGCGCTTGTGGTCGTAGCGATGGCCGCCAATTTTGACCTCGACGTACTGCATTTTTTCCTTGTAGTGCACGCCAAAGGCTGGCGACTGGTTGAGCGAGCCGCCTTTGTGAGGCACCATCTTCATGGGCGCCGAGACGACTGTCGGCCGGTACTGCGCGGCGTGCTTGTGGTCCAGCGGGTGGCCGCCGATCTTGACCTCGACGTAGTCCTTGACCGGCACCTCGTACGCGTGCAGGCACAGCTGGTTGGCTGAGTGGCGCGCATCCCAGAGCGACGGCAGCGCCGCCATGTCGACGTCGACGGTGTCTACGAGGGTCATGCGTCAGCGTTGCGGGTGGCGGCGTCGGACGAACCGCGCTTGGGCCGGGCGAGCGTGGCCTGCATGGCGTGTGGGAGTGCAACTTCGATATCTTTCTTCGCTGCAACGAGGGACTTGGTAGTGATATTCGAAGTTGCCGTTGCGACATACAGAATCCAAGTGCAGGGCATTCGGTGCTTCGAACCGCCAAACGAGCCCTCGATTGCTTCAAATATTGCTCTTTTCGTGTAGGCGCGGTTTCAATACGTCAATATGGATATGCACAGCGCAAGAGGGGATGCCGTAGGAGCTCGGTACTAGTATTAGCGATGGACGAGTGTGGCGCACAAACACAGTGCAATTATGTCCAAATGTCAATATTCGTACTGCGTATACAAGTTGTCCTCGGCTGAATGACATTCAGCTAAGGACGTAGAGTACGACTCGCTGTGCTGACGACATGCGCAGCGCGGCGATATCGACAACGCCGCATTAAAGGCCATACAAACGAGCGCCCTTCATGCGTACCAGTCCTCATGTGCCAATCGTCGTTGGTTTCTGAGAAAGAATTGCCGATGAGCGCATTAGTATTGGTCAAGTTGACCAAGTTGCGCCAGGAGCGTCTACAGGAGTGGGATGAAGCAATCTGATTGGACAACCTTGCGCAACACCACCAAAACCTCTTGCAGGCCGATGTTCTTGTGACCCTTCCTTACGCCACACAGAAGCACCGCGACAGCAGCATTTCCACCATTCATCATCGGTCTGGACTTGCGCTATTCGCAGAATCTAGGTTCACCAATTCTCAACACGATCTCGCGAGTGCTTCCTAGATACCAATCGGCAAGATGTTCAGTTGCCACCCACGAGTGGACACCCATATCTGAACAAGACCCCGCTAAAGTGCAGCTGAAGCGCGGAAGGATCGAGTTTTCGGCAAGGAGAATCATCGATCGACGTGGTTTCCAAGGGCATGTGGTTTTTCCCGAGGCTCTAACACTTCACCACCACCATGTATTCTTGGCATAGATCACCTTGTACACCAGAACGGACCCAAGAAGCGAAGCTGCTGCACCACTTTAACCCGTCACCACGTGTCCACACCTCGTGCTCACCGCAAATTCAATACCGGTAGCCGAATTCGTGGGTAATCGTTCCTCTAACACGCATTCTGGATCACAAGAACCTTGCGCACATGTGTCCCGTGCGTCATATTGCAACTGGCAACCATGTACGAAGAAATGGCACATGTCGCTCGTAACCCATTCGAGGCCGATTCGTGGCCACGAGCGACTGCCGACCGCCAGTCCGCGCCAAAGTCGCTCCAGGTAGCCAATCACAAGCCGCGCTCACGTACATCATACACTAATTACCGACACCGCGTTATCGATGGGACATCCACGGTAAGTGAGCCGTACGTTTGCACGACACGAGCTCTATCCAAACAAGTGCATTCGCGTACAAGCTCACAACAATCGTTTGACTCGACATGATGTCGTACAAGGCGATTGATAGTGTCGACTCTTCCTCTCTCTACACGGCGGTGCACATACAGGCACACTATTTGAGTACAGTAGGACGGGCATGTCGCAGGTGATTGCCCAACTGGCCGGCGACAAACCATCGCTGCTTTCGACCACTCTGCGATTTTCCTCCAGCATGGGTTTCCTCGACAACCTCTTCCGGACCAAGCCGATCGAGGTCATTGAGGCCGAAGAGCGCAAGGAAGAGCTCCCGCGCGAGCTCGGTCTGCGCGACCTCATCATGATTGGCATCGGGTCGACGGTCGGGTCCGGTGTGTTTGCGACGACGGGCGACATTATCAGTGGCGCGGCCGGCCCCGCCGCCTTTATCGGCTGGGTCGTTGCCGGCTGTTCGTGCATTCTGAGCGGGTTCGCCTACATGGAGATGAGCTCGCTCATTCCGTCGTCCGGCTCGACGTATGCGTACTCGTACCACATTCTCGGCGAGCTCCCGGCCGTCATTGGCGCGTGGCTCTTGACGCTCGAGTATGGCATGTCGGGCGCCGGCGTCGCGCGCTCGTGGGGCACGAAAGTCCAGCAGTGGCTCGTCGAAGGCTCGCCGAACGAGAGCGCCAAGTACGACTGGCTCAACCTGCCGCACGCGTCGTTCCTTGCCGCGCTCGTCATGACCGTCTCGGTGCTCATCCTCCTCGTCGGCATCAAGTTTGGCAAGCTCTTCATCAACACGGTCACGGGCACGAAGATCGTGGTCGTCATTTTCATCATTTTTGCGGGCTTCACCGCCACCAACCTCGACAACATGACGCCGTTCATTCCGCCGCGCGACGAAGCCAAGAACCGGTACGGTTTCCAGGGCATGATGCTCGGTGCGTCCCAAGCGTTCTTTGGCTACGTCGGCTTTGACGAAGTGTGCTGCCTCGCGGCCGAGGCCAAGGACCCTCGCAAGATCATGCCGCGCGCGGTGGTCGGGACGATTCTAGGCACGATGTTCCTCTCTGCGTTTGCCTCGCTGGCGCTCTCGGGCATGATGAAGTACAACTCGGACCCGGTCGGTGGCTTCTACTTCTCCGCGGGCTTCCAGAACGTCGGGTACCACTGGGCGTCGACGATCGTGCACATTGGTGAAGTCGGCACGATGCCGGTGGTCGTCTTGATCTCGTTCCTCGCGCAGCCCCGCTTGATGTACGCCATGTCGGTCGACGGCCTTTTGCCCGAGATCTTTGGCCGCGTCGACAAGAACGGCAACCTCTTTTGGTGCACGGTCATCACCGGTATCTTCTTTACGCTCTTCGCCATCTTGGTGCCGTTCGACTACCTCTGGAACATTGTGTCCTTTGGCATTCTCGTCTCGTTCAACATGACCAACTCGGCGCTCATTCTGGCGCGGACGCGCGAGGCATCGCCTGTCTTTGCGTACAAGCTCACGGGCGCCATGGTCGCCTGCTCGTGCATCTCGATGTTCTGCTTTGAGAAGGGCTACGTTGAGACCGAGTCCGGCGGCGTCGGCTTCCTCGTCGTCGCGGTGATTCTCTTCGCGGCCGTCATTGGCCTCGCGACGACCATCTACGTCAAGTGCCCGCAAAACGTCGGCCCCGTCGACTGCTACCGCGCGCCGCTTGTGCCGTTCGTGCCGATCCTCGCCATCACGATCAACTGGTTCCTCATTGCGCAGCTCCCGGCCAAGGACATTGGGTTCGGCTTTTGCTGGATCCTGCTCGCGGTCCTCTCGTACTTTGCGTATGGCTACAAGCACTCGGCCGGGAAGACGGGCTGGCAAGAAATGCTCAAGAACCAGCTCGCGAGTCTCAACGAAGTGCGACCGTCCATCACGTCGATGATCACGGACCAGACCAACATGGTGCTTCCCGGCTACGTCCCGCTCGAGAACAAGCCAACGCTCATTCTGCACTAGCGTCGAGTCGCATAGGAGGATAGATTTTCGTCGCACAACACAACATTATTGTCTGTTTGCTCTTGATTTTGGCGCCCGATTGCCACGTTTAAAACACAAAAAGCTCAAAACGATTGGCAGTCTACCGGATACTCACCACAATTTCCATCTCTTCCTAATGTTAGACGTCTCTAGCCTCGGACCTGCGCAGACGGACACGCTCATGATGCTGCCCTACTAGTCGGACACAGAGCTGTCAATGAACAGCACCAACACGATGCCACTTGAGCGGGTGCGACCGGCTAGCAACTGCAGGCTTGGACATGACAACTTGTCCACATCTTGGCTCGATGACGGATCAAGTCGTCGAGGATGCACGGTGGCGTCTTGTCTGTCTGACAATCGGCCGGCGCTCAGCCCAGCGCTGAGGTTGGCGCCACGCATCCTCCGGATACGCTGAATAGATCGATCCATGTGGCTGCTATGAATGTGTCTTGACTTGGCGTTTGTAGTGTATTTTATGTGTTTAAAACCCATGGAATATCTTGGCGGGGTATCCGGACGCGACCACAAACAACAACAAAGTTGTTCGACGATGCAAGCGCAGGTCGCCGTCGACGTCGCCGCCGCCGATGGCCGCGATCCCATCAACGCGCAGGCCTCGTCGACGCCCCGCGCCTCCATGGAGCATGAGCCGCGCGTCTCGATCTCGTCCATCTCGCTGGCCCACATGCATCGCGGGACGTCCAACGAGTATGCATTCGATGCCACGTTTGACACGTACCGCCCGTCGCCGCTGCCACCGATCGATGGCAGCAACGAACCAACAGCGGTGGCCGGCAACTTGCCACGGTCGCCCGAGCGCAAGTGGCAGCTGGAGACCATGGTCGACGCCTCGGGGCGGTCGTGCGATGCGATCCTCTATGCGCTCTTTCGCAGCTCGTGGATCTACCTCGTCGTGCTCGGTGTCATGGCGTCCGTCACAGCCTTTGGCGTCGATGCCGCCGTTCTGGGCATCACCGAGCTCCACGCAGTCGTGACCAACCTCGGCTCCAACTTTCTCTCGCGCTTCCTCCTCTACGTCGGGTACCGCGTGTGCATCCTCATGCTGGGCGTGACGCTCACCTTCTTCATTTGCCCGAGCGCCGCCGGCTCTGGCATTCCAGGTAGATCCATTACGATTCTCGCCTCGATTGCAGCAGCATCATTGCGGACGTAGAAATGCGATCGATCCTCGGCGGCTTTGTGCTGCCGCGCTACTTGTCGGGTCTCGCGCTCATCTCCAAGTTCCTCGGCCTCGTGTGCGCGCTTGGAAGCGGCCTCTCGATCGGAAAGGAAGGCCCTTTCGTGCACTTGAGCTGCATCATTGCCAACCAGCTGCTTCGCTTGCCCTTGTTCAAGGACATCAAGCGGTCGCCCGACCTCACGCACCACGCGCTCTCGGCCGCGTGTGCGGTTGGCGTCACTGCCGCCTTTGGCACACCCATCGGCGGCGTCCTCTTCTCGATTGAGGTCACGACGACCTACTACATGACGAGCAACTATTGGCGCGCCTTCTTTTGCTCGGTCGTCGGCGTCATCATGTTTCGGTGGCTCAACGTGCTCAGCGGCAACGACCGCAACGCAGCGCTCTTCACGACCGATCTCGACTTTCACTCGGCGTCGTTCGGGACCATCTTTTCCTCTTCCTTGCGATCGTTTGCGGCGTCCTCGCCGGTGTGTTTGTTCGGACCTTCTCGTGGTGTGTCAACGTCCGTCGCCGGTACCTCTCTACCTCAGCGATGACAAGCTGCTGCTCATTATGACTGTAGCAACATGGGTCTCTGGGGGGCCAAGCCATTTCGGTATGCGGCAGCTGTCGGTACGGCCTTTGCGATGCTCGACTACGCGTACGGCAACTGCATGCTCCTTGGGAACCGGTCGATCATCGACGATATGTTTCTCGCCAAGGACCTCGACCACTCCAACCACACGCTTCTGTGTACACACATGTTGTCGATTGAGAAGGGATCTGATATGCGTGACGGTAGATGACAAGTTTGGCACGTACTGGGGCGCGCCGTCCTTGCCGCTCAACCTCTGCCTCTTCTTCCTCGTTCGGTTCCTCGCGACGGCCCTCGCCGCAAGCGTCGGCGTGCCCAACGGTATCTTTACGCCTGTCTTTGCGCTCGGCGCGGTGCTCGGCCGCCTCTTTGGCGAGTTCCTTGCATACACGTCGCCCAGCGCCAACATTGTGCCAGCCGGCTACGCGATCGTCGGCGCCGCGTCGTTCACGGCCGGTGTCACGGGCACGTTTAGCATTGCCGTCATCGTGTTTGAGCTCACGCAGCAGCTCACGTACATGATCCCTGTCTTGCTCGCGGTGCTGCTCGGGCGTGCGATCGCAGGCTTCATCTCCCTCGACATGTACGAGACGATTGCGCGCGACAAGAGTCTGCCGCAGTGGCCCGACCTCACGCGACAGACGTCGTATGCACTGGTGGCCACCGACCTCATGCACGCCGTGCCGCTCTCGCACGTCGTCTCCCGCCGCCAGTCGCGGGCGTCGCTGGCTGACTTTTTAGCCAATGCGCCGGCGGCCGTGCCCCGCTTCCCCGTCGTCGACGACGACAGCAATCGCATTTTTCTTGGCGTCATTGAGCGGGACGAGCTCGAAGCGCTGCTCCAGACATGGAACCACGTCGTCGACGGCGTCGCCGGCCTCGTGCCCCGGCCGCCCTTTGGCTTCTCGCCACCGAATGGCGCTGACAATACTGGTTTTGCATCGAGTCCCGACTCCGAGTCGGCGGCGATCACGCCACGGTCGCGGCACATGGGCCTCACGAGCCAGCTCGCGATCGCGGGCCTCACAAGCGATCAGACGCGCGAACTCCGCACGCAAGAGCGCGTCGACCTTGTCGGCTGTGAGCTGCTGAGCCTCGACGCCGAGAACGTCCACGTACACCGCGATACGTTTGCGTCCAAAGTCATTTTGCTCATCTCGGTGCACAAGACGCCCGAGCTCTACGTGACGGGGAAAGGGCGGCTCGTCGGCGTCATTTACGCCACCGACCTCGTGGCGCGGAGCCGGTCCTTTGCACTCTAATATCTAGTAGCAAGTGCTCTCGCCGATAACTCTTACGCGCAGTATTTCATAGCTTGTAGCTCCGTGTCCATGGCTCTCGACGCGCCTTGCATGCAAGCAGCTACTCGTTGCCACGTCGCGTCGTCACTCGACCGGTCGCGTCATCAGAATGTCGGTGACCGTCATTATTGTATGTGGGACGACCAGGCGGCGACCGACGCGTGGCACGCCATGAGCGTCCCGCACAGGTACTACAGGTGACGGACGACGACTTGGTGACGACTGGTCACGAGCGCTTGCGGCCATGCATTGCGCGATCGGGCGGCCATCACGAAGCTTCGACCTGCTTCGCCTCCACTGTTGTCGGCGCCACGTGCAGAAGGCTTGCGTAACACATCGATATCACATGGCCCTCGAACCCATATTTCCGACCAGCCGCCTGTCCGGGTCAGCGCTTCGAAGATACTGTCGGTTTCGATATTATATTGTTTCTTATTGCGCTTCTTAGTGCCACCGATTCCTTCGACTGCACAACCACAGACGATGATGACCTATCTGTGCATGTGCATGCTCCCACTACTAGCTGCAAGGAAGCTCGTCGTCTTCCTCTCTCCATGTTACGTCAATCGCGAGCGACCTGCTGCTTGCATTTGCCCATGGGACATGCGAGCGGCCACCGTCCACAAAGAGGGACTTGCCCGCTCCTGAATTATTTATCTTTTGTTTTAAATTGACTTGGGTTTGGTATCGAAAGGCTTGGAAACGCCGCTTCAACAAATCCAGCGGGATGTGCACTCGCAGGGGATTGGCTGAAATGACGCAAGTGCAATCTCATTGGTGCAAAGTGGGTGCAGGGCTCGGGGACTGCCACGTATTTTTTGGCGCCGACCGGTTCCGCATACGAAAAGGCCCTCGTGCTCCAAATGATAGGATTAAATACGTAGGGCTCGGGTTCGCTCCGTGGCCAGTGGTCGCTCGTGCGACCTTGCGGAGCTTTGAAGTCACTTTTGCTTTCCCCTTACCTAAATCTCGTCGCGTGTTGTTTCTTCGGTCAAGATGATGTCCGAATAAATGATCCAGCGCTTGCTTTTTGGTAACCCCCCCCCGACGATGATGCAGCAGTAGTTGCCAACGCCGCGATGGCCTGTGCCCCCTTGAGATCCTCAACCCAAGACTCCGACTTTACGACCTACGACAACAACAAATATTACAACCATGACCACCATGATCAACATGCTCCCGACGTTCCACGCGCCCCACGCCCTCTTTGGGCCCACTAGCGTGGCCTTCCACGAAGACGCGCTCGCCAACTCGCTCGAGCTGGACGACGCCGACGCGGCCAACGACATTGACGAGTTCGCGCAGCTCCTCTCCGCCGTCGACGACGAAGAGACTGCCAACGACATCGATGCCTTCACCGACCTCATCGAGTCGCTCTCCAAGGCGCAAGCCAAGGACGATGGCTTCAGCGACGTGCCGACGTTTACCGAGATGGACCTCGACGCCCTTCTCGGCCACGACGTCGACATGGCCGCCGACCTCAGCGACGACGACGACGACGATGAAGAAGACGAAGACGACGACAGCGCGTCGACGTCGAGCCCTCTGGACTCGGCCGCCGCGCTCTCGCCGCTCGACTTTCGCACGTACCAGACGCCGATCGACCCTCGGTGTTGCATCAAGACGCCCGTCTTCAACAAGATCGACCCGCGCATCCCGCTTGCGCTCATCCCTCGCATGGACGTGACGTTTGGCATGCGGGCGCCCGCCACCCTGGCGGCGCCTGCGTTCCCGACGGCCGCGCCCGCTTCGCCCCTCTCGGTCTGCTCCTCGGCGGCCGACGCGGACGAAGAAGCGTACGTGCACGACCCGGCCCGCTGCTGGGTGTGCAAGAGCGACAAGTCGGAGGCGCGCAAGATGGTGCTGCACCGCTTCGTCGAGAAGCGCCACCGCCGCAACTGGAAGCGCGGCGCCCGGTACAAGGCCCGCTCGCGCGTCGCCTCCTCGCGCGTGCGGGAAGGCGGTCGCTTCGTGACCAAGTGCCAATGGTTCGCCCCGAGCTACGAATGAAAAATCCAGAAAAATCAAGAAAACGCCCGAAAAAAAGAAAACAAAAATGACAAATCATGTGCATGTAGTAGTAAGCGACGTAGGAAACATTCTCTACCCTTGAGTTGAAGCTCGCTTCGAGCCCACTGGTCAATATAAAGACTTTTGTATTAATATCTACCCTTGCTTCTTCCATCGCATTACTACACCACGCCTTGCAGCACCGCGTGGACGGCCTGCGCTTCCTTGGCACCCGTGCTCGTCAACGGTGGACTATGCAGCCGCAGCATGAGGCAACCGTGTACCTCGAACGACGACGCACCACAGTGCATGCAGGCGCAGCTGGTTGGGTTCGTCATGCGAGATCACGGCCAGCATCGGCGGGCACGTCTTGACCACGTCGGTGCTAGTACCATTGTCCGTGAGGAGCCGCCATCAGCATCAGCCTACGCAATCGAGAGGCGCATGATGCCGCTCGGTGTCGTCACGCGCTGGACGAGCACAGAGCTCTATGCATAATCCATACATGAGGCGCACGGCGAGGTTGCGAGTTCGATTCCCGCACCATGCTGGACGCCAACAGGTCCCAGACACCGACATCGCCGTTCGAATAATGCACGAAAAAGACGGCGCTGCGCGACGGCGACCATTGGAGACCAACGACCGCGACGCGGCTCGTCGGCGCCTCGGCCCAGGACGCGATCGCGTGCGCGAGGCCCTTGTCAAAGAGGCTACGGAGGCTGTGGCGCACTTGATACATTGATAAATGGGGTACCGGACACTGCCGTCGGCATACCCCACGAGCAAGTACGTGGGCAGGAAGGGCTGCAGGCCACGGCGGTGACGGCGCCGGCACACGCGTCGCCGAGGTACGCTTTGACCGGCAGCTTCTTCTCAAAGCGGCTATGGAGCTGGAGCTTGCCCGAATGGGAGCCGACGACAAAGCTAATGCAAGACACAAGAATGTGTCCACCTTTTCTAGAGAGACGGTGGTCGTACAGGCTCGTGTCCGAGGGTAGCACGGCGAGCAGCGTCGCGGTCGGGCCAAACGCGACGGTGGGTGCAGTGTCGATGACCGACGTCTTGACGAGGCGCACGCGGCCACCAATCTCGACGCAGCTGTCCAGTGCGCTACAAGCGTGACTTGGACCTTGTCCTGGTAGGACCAAGACACGACATACTCGGTCGCGTCGGCAGCCGACTCGACAAGGCCCCAAAAGATGACACGCCCACGGTTGTCGAGCGAGCCGATTTGAAAAGTGGCGCCCTTCTTACCCGACGGAATCGGTACCACCGAGCACTAGTATCGACGCTACGATGGAACGAGCTCGACCAGCAGCCTGCACGTACGATCGGCGACGCATGGCTGTTGCGTGCGTACTTCATGCCGGCTGTCGCGTACGACGGTGGCGCGACCTTGAGACGGCGGCCGCTGACATGGACTAGCAGCAGCGATCCAGATGCTGCGTAGGTGGTTGATGCTCACCTTCAAAATTGGGCGACACGGGGTGTCGGAGGTCCCAGAGCTGCACGTCGCCTTCTTCCGTGCCACAGAACGCGAAGAGGTCGCGGTTCGGGCCAAGATTGCAGCAGGTCACGTTGCCCTCGGCGCGTAGCCACCTAGCACGATCGCACGACACGTCTTTCATCTCGACTCGATACCGAAGCGGCGACTGCAGTTGGTTGATGTCCCACACACACAAGATCGACTTGTCGCTGAACGCGACACTCTCATTGTTGTTGTCGACGCTCGGCGAGTACGCGGCGAGCAGCCAGTGCGAGACCGTCGCGGAAAAGGTCACGTCTAGTACGTGCACCACGTCGACGGCGATCGTTTTATATAATGAGACGCGCACCAACGAGGGTTCGGTCGGCCAAGAGCGGCTGCGGCTCGGTCACCACGTGCGCTGTCTCGAGCTGCGCGAGCTTGCGTGTACTCGGATCGTGATGGGTCATCTCCATGCCGTCCTTGCGCGACGCGGCTTGAATGGCACGTAGGACGTTCTCTTCGGCGAGCACTTCGCAGACCTACCCCACATGCCTAAGATTGCTCTAAGAAATCTGGCGCGTACGTGTGCCGCCCGTTCGAGGAAATTCATAAAGTGCCGCGACGACGACGACGACGTGCTGTCGTGGTCGTCGTGGCCGCGGTCGTCAGGAAAGTGCATGCCAAAGTCCTTGGCGTCGCCGTGTTCGGTCTGCGTGCTGACGCCGCGCGCGTCATCGTTGGTCTGCACAAACACTTGGCGGACCGCGCCGACGCGGAGCTGCTGCATGTACTTGTCAAGGTCGTTGGATGGCGCGAGTTGAAACACATCAAACTTTTCGACCTCGAATTTCTTCTTCTCGAGGATTTCCTACAAACCGGTCGGGTGGCCACTTGATACATTGAACAAAACCTTGATACGTTTCGCGCGCGGGTCCACGGCCTGCTTCAAGCCCGCAATCGAGGACGAGACGTTGTTGGACGGTGCTTTCTTGGCCTCTTTCGACTCGGCCCGCGACGTCGACTTGGCCGACGACGTGGGCGTCGACGACCGCGACTTGCTCTCGGCCTGGAGCGCTTCACGGATCTTCTTGACCGTCTCGTCGTCGGGCTTGTTGTCCTCGACAATATTATTGTTGCTGGCTTTGGCCGGCTTCTTTACTGGCTCGTCCGCGCGGTCGCCTTCGTAGTTCTACGCAAATTGCAGAGGGAGCGCCATCACTGTGTGAGCACGCGGACCTCAAAATCGTCGTCGTAGTCCTCTTCCTCTTGACACTCTTCGGCGTTGGCATTGAGCGCCGCGAGCTCCTGCGCCTTGCGAAGCTCGCGCTGACGGGCCTCTTCTTCGCGGCGCGCCAGCTCGAGCGCTTGCCGCTCCAGTTCGTCCTTTCGCCGCTTGGCTTCCTCCAGCTCCTTTTGCTTTAAACGCTTCGCCTCGCGTCGCGCGGCTTGGCGCGCCTTCTCTTCTTCGTCGTTGTCGTCCTTGGGCACCTAATGAGGATGCCACCATGTGCTCGCAATGGACGGTACGTACGGCAGCGCTGGTCGGCGACGTCACTGCCGGCGTCGCTGGAATCGCAGTCGCGGTCGGCGCGGGACCGGTGACCGCCGGGTCGGGTCGTTTTTTGGACGACTTTTTCTTGGCCTTTTCGTCACCCGCGGCGCTCGAAGGCTTGGGCTCGGCCGCGCCAAGGCTCGAGAGGTTCATCTTCGGCACGTCCGTCATGGAGGGCGGCTTGGTCGCGGCGGCGGCGGGTGGCGTTTTTGGCTTGCTTGGCGTCGCGGCGGGTGGCGTTTTTGGCGTTGCGATTGCCGGGCCCGCGTCCGGCGCCGCCTTCTTGGAGGCCTTCTTCGCGGCCTTCTTCATCTCGCGCTTCACGTCGTCGTCATCGGCCTTGGGCTCGGCCATCTCGTCGTCGTCGGTTGCCAAAGATTGCGCCGGTTGCGAGGTTGCTGGAACAACCAATGTTTTTTCATTTTCGCTTGGATCTTGAAGCGTTGCTCATGGAGCGGAAGGAAGTCGCTTGCAAGCGCGGAGAGGAAAAACTGAGCTACAAGCATGCGAAGGAGTGCGACGACCTCGACGCGGCCGAAACCAAGTCGTGCCCGAGCGACGACGACGCGCAGGAGAAATGGGACCTCGAGGTCGAGAAGGAGTGGGCCGCCAAGCTGAAGGACCCCAACGTCGGCAAGATCCAAAAGGCCATGCACCCGCGCGGCCGCAAGATCAGCGACGGCCTTCACATGTACTACACTGCCATCGCCTGCGGTATCGATTGCGATATGGCCTGCTTGTAGCAACTTTATGAACATGCGTTGCGGCGAGACAGGCCGCGTGCTCTGGCTGCAAGAGCGGTTCACCAAGGACATGTACGAAAAGGAGCAGCGAGGTACGACACGACATTGCCTGCATCGACGCGACGACCTCCTTCGTAGCGGTCGTGCCCAAGGCCATTCTGCAATGTCTCGCCGTCTCGCGCGAAATCAACTTTTCATCCAAGGAAGAGATCCAAAACTTCCGCCTCGAGCAGCGCGTCTTCTTGCACGGCAAGTGCTTGGAAGGTTCGCCGCCAGCAACGTTCGTCCATCATTGTAGCTACGTAGAGTGGCTCTTCGCCTTTGGCTACGTGATTCCGGGCTCGACCAACTCGTGGCAGCAGACCATCGAGTCGGCGGGCGCCGACAACATGCTGCCCGCCGACGTCATTAGGTACACGCGCCATCTCGTCGTCTTCTGTACCTCTGAACTGATGCATTAGCGGCAAGATCACGATCGAGACAGGCTTTTACGACGCCGACATGCTCATCGCGAAGACGGTCTTCCGAATCTATTACGAGTAGCCTCCTGTCCATGGTTGCTCGAACATGACACCGCGTGTGCTTTCACTTTTCGTCGTTGTCGTTGTCGCCGGTGGCGGCTTGGGCGACGAAGCGTGTCACGCGCGCCGCAAACGCCTGCAGTCGCCGGTCCGCCGCCGATCGCTCGTCCGCGAGCGTGGCGCGGAGGGCATCGATCTGGCTCTGCAGCCGACCCTCGAGCTCGAGGCGTTGCGCGCTGGCGTCCTCGGCCTTGGCCCGCTCGACTTCATATCGTGCTTGCAGATCCTAGCACCATCGATGGCGCGATTCGGATACGGATCGAGGAGGAGAAGAGAGGCGACGTACCGCCACGCGCGCGTCGTGGACCAGCGTCGTTTGGGCGCAGGTTGCTTCGAGGTGGGCCATACGGTCCATCGTCTGGTCGAGCTTGCGCTGGAGGCGTGCGAGCTCGAGGTCCTTGGCGCCGTCCGCCTCGAGGTGCGCCTGGGCCGTCGCACGGAGCTCGCCGATCGTGCGCTCCAAGCTCGCGCGGTCCGTCTCGTGCTCGGCCCGGAGTCGAGTCTTGTCGTTGCGAAGCCGCTCGATCGTGTCGAGATGCGTCTCGACGTCGCGCTCGAGAGCCACGCGCGTGCTGCGAACGTCGGCGAGCTGCGCTTCGATCGCGACCACCGACCGCTCAAACCGGTCTTTCGCTTCTTTTTCCATCTTGGCGAGATGGCTCGATAGGTCCTTCTCGTGCCCGAGTTTGAGCTGAAGGAGGTTGCTTTGCAGCATATCGTTGGCTTCGCGCAACTGCAACAACTCGCGTGTCGCCGCCTCGAGCTGGTGCTGGAGCCCGCGCGTCTGGTCTTCCAGCGCGCCTTGGGTGGCTTCGAACCGCCGGCCCGCGAGGCTCACTTTGGTCTCGCACTCGCTCCTCGCGTCGGCAAGCTTGTGCTCTGCGACGCTGCGCTCGTCCAGGAGGTGCTTCTGGAGCCGTTCGCACTCGATCTGCGCGGTCTGCAGCGACGCCTTGGCCTTGCTCAAGCTGCCTTCGAGGTAGTCGCGCTCGCGTGCAAACGCCTTGCGCTCGTTCTCGAGCTGCTCAAAGACACGTTCGTGGCTGAGCTCGGCTTGGAGCGCTTGGTCCTTGGCGCGGAGCAGCTCTTGCTCGAGTTTGTGCTTTGCGATGTCATGCTCCTCATAGTCTTTTCGCCGGCGCGCGTCGGCTTCGTTGTACAAGGTCTTGTAGTCGTCGGCGGTCTTGAGCGCTTCGAGCTCGCGCATCTGGTACCGGTCGCGCTCGTCGGTGAGCAAGCGGACGTCCGCGTGCAGCTTTTGTATTACCCGTTCGCTCGTCTCGTTCTGGTCTTCCTACAATATATGTTAGCCGTCGGGTCTCGTGTCAAGAATGCGCGTGTTGCACGTACGAGGAGACGGATGTGCTTTTTAGTCGTCGCCACCTCGTCCTGGAGCTTTCCCGTCTCGGCCATGTACGTCAAGAGCAGACGCGCATCGTCGTCGTCCTTGCGCGCTCGGTCGGCGTCGGTACTTGCCGCCTCGTCGTGTAGAACGGGCAGCTCTAGCGGCTCTTCGATGCCTTCTTTGCTGTGTTGGATGCAACGCTGTTGAGATTACGCCGCAGACACGCTTCGACGAGCTCCATGGTTGCCATCGCCACGTTGTTGCCCATGAGGTGGAGGCGCAGAAGCGTATGGTTGTCCTGGAGCATCTCCGAGAGCGCGTGGCCACCGAGAGAGCCCATGTCATTCCAGCGCAGGTCTAGCTCTTGGAGCGTGCGATTCCGTTTCAGACCGGCTGCGAGGAGCGCCGCGCCGTCGGGACCGATGCTGTTGTTGCGCAAATCAAGGTGCGTGAGCGTCGTGTTCATCGCGAGGGCGGCGCTGAGCGCCTCGAGTCCGTGCTCGAGGACGCCGACGCAGTTCCACTCGAGGTTGATGCTCGTGATCACGTTGCTTTGCTTGAGAAAGGCGGCGAGGTGGACGGCGCCGTCGGCTTGGATGCGATTTCCGCGCAAATCCAGCACGCGTTTCGCTGGGTATTGCCGCAGCAGCCTGCACAAGGCTGCGCACCCGTCGTCGCCAAGGTACGCGTTGCTCAGATCCAAGACGACGCCGTCTGTCTCGGCCCGCGCCCGGACCTTCTCGTCCAGAGACTTCATCTCGGATCTCGCAGCCGCGTCGTGATTGGTTGAAACCCCAACGGCCAATCAGGCGTTTCAGGTGAGATTGCACTTTCTACCGAGCGTCGTCGTGCTCTTAGCCACAGGATCGAGAGCGTCCTGCGAGGTATAGGACTGTTGAAGTGATGGGTAGATGCGTGTCGTTGGGTGCAGTAGACGCACCCGCCGCCGCCACAAAAAAATCAAAGAAGGACGACGTGCATGTAGATGTTGACTCAAGTCGATGAAAGGTTCATGTACGCGACGCGCGGAAAGCTGTCGGCTGTCTCCTCTTGGCGATAGCTTTGCGGGTACTCGAACTGGACGCACGTCACATTCCGGAGAAAATGTACTCGATGGGCACGCCCGTGCTCGGGTGCGGGCTTGGTCGAACGCAGCTGCCGCGGTCACCGGCATCGAGTAGCTGCGTCGACTGCATCATCGAGGCATAGGCGCGCGAATTTTTACGCGTATTGAAGTCCCCCATGAGGATAAGAGGGCCCGACGCGTTCTGGACATACGCCAACACGAGCTCCAACTGCTTGTCGCGGTCGGTCGTCCCGTCGTTGCCGAGATGGACGTTCATGACGTGCAGGAGCGTTCCATGGACGTTGAGAAGCACATGCTACGACGTACTCGTGTCCTGCACGCCCGTCGGTGAGGCTACCTGAAAGCAAGCGTTCTCGCCAAGCGATGGCAGGACGATACCGGACGCAGCAAGAATCGGAAACGACGACAAGAGCGTGCATCCGAACGAGTCGGCGTCCGTCGCGGGGTTGGCAAAGCTGTACATGCCCCGGTGCAGCGCCAGGTACAGCGTCAAGTCCAAGCTACCAGACCCTGTTTGCATCGTGTCCGACTCCTACGCAGCACTCTCACGTTTCCACTCCATAGTATATACTCGAGCACCTGCAGCGCCACGATGTGTGGGTCAAAGTCGTCCAGCATCGATCGAATTGCGTGAAAGTTGTTGCCACCGGCTCGGTTAAAGCCCTACGCCCCTTTGTCAGAAACAGCAACTTGTACGATAGTGTGTGTACCTGATACGCGTTGAAGCTCACGAGGCGCAAGTCCGACGCCACATTGCCGAGCGTCAACGGTGGCGAGTTCGAGCCCTACCCCCGCACACACATATGTTTTTCACTCCATAATGTTGCAGCGTACGGGCGGGGCAAAGGACGCTGTGTAGATGCTCGCGATCGGGATGACGCACACGCAGCATATGCCTGCGCCGATGACGCGCCGGAGCCGGTCCATCGTCGTCGATTGCAGCGTCGGTGCGAGTGAGGATCGCAAGACGACGACGGCCGTGCCAATGACACTGGCCGTCAGGTAAAAGATGCGAAAGCGCTGGCCGCGGAGACCGCGTAGCTCGGGAGGCAAATAGTCGTACGTCGTGAGCGCGATCGTGAGCGCCAGCAACGTCGTGTAGACAAGCGTGAGGAAAACCGCGCCAACGCAGAGCGACAGGCTGCAGGACGAGCGACGCGGCGTCGCGACGCCGAGCTCGTGGGCCGAATTGAGGCGCTCGGAATCGAAGTGGACGGGTTCGAGGTGCGCGTTGATGGACATGAACGTGCTGGGGACGAGCAGAAGCCAGAGCGAGGGCAGTGCGAGGCCCATGGCGGCCGCCCCACAGAGAGAGAGCCCGGGGAAGCTCGAGGCGTGGAACGCAATCGCGCCGACACCAAAGAGCGCCGCTGCGGCCACCGCCCCACCGAGCTATTAGATGAATCATGGTTAGCCATCGTAGTAGCCAGGAGATTGCCCTTGGTAGGAGGCCGTACGACCTACCGGTGCACAAATGATGCCGAGCGTATACGTCGCGAGGACGAGCCACCTACGCACTCGAGTAAGCACATTGGATCGTATCACGAGGCGGCGCACCCCCACGCATGGTGGACGCCGAGCCAGCGCGGGATGGCGGTCGGCGCGGTGAAGAGCCACTGGGTGAAGAAGAGGAGGCTTGCGAGACCGAGAAGACCGAGGAGACGGCGCCAAAGCGTCGTGTTCGCGGAGCCCTTGCCGAGCTGCAGGTGGTGCTGGTAGGCGTACAAAAGCACGCCACACAGCGCGGCGAGTGGGATGCACGAGAAGCCCGAGCCCGGCAGGTCGAGAAGCGGATTGAGCGACAAGCCAGCCCAGCGCAGCCACAACAAGAGAGCATTGCTTAGAACGAGGCCGTGCAACGCCATCGCGGGCAGCGTCACGGAGCCATCGATCGAGAGCGCGTTTGTCTCGGAGGACCACAGCGCCAAGTGCACCGTCAGCATCGCGGCGAGGCCCACACACGCCGTCTATCATGGTAGACATGAGTCGTCCATTGCTCAAATTATCGACGTGCGGGTACCACGAGGTGGGTTTCGGGCGACGCGTCATCGAGATGGCGGCTCAAGAGGCAGAGCGAGCCAATGCTGACGCCGACGCCGTAGCCTTTGGCGCAGTAGACACGCAGCGTATGGGACAGCAAACACACGGAGGGGCAGCCGACGACGATGCTCAAGTAGACCACTTGGCTTGGCAGTCCCATCGCGTGCAGCGAGAACCAGTACACGTCCCGCGGCAGTATCGACGCGAGCGACCAAAACACGACACCGGCGCCAACGTGCGCGGTGCCAAGCAGCACATCGCGGCCTGCGACGTCGCCGCTGAGTGGCATTTCACTTTTTCCTCAAGTAAAAAAGTGACAAGTCCGAGCGCAGAAACAGGAAACGTCCCGATCCAAATCGAGTCTTGAACCGCCGCGTACATGTACGTCAACCAAGAGCCAAGCAAGGACCACGAGGTAGCCAACTTGAGGACACACAACCAAAGACGGTTGAAACACAATGGACGACGCAACCATGTATATTGTGGATGCATCTCATCGGCTTCTCAAGTCGAACTCGACGCAATGGACGCGAAAAAGTCGACTAGGACGTCTTTGCCGGTGCGGAGGTTGCGGAGGCGGATGCGTTCGTTCTGCAAGTGCGCGCGGTCCGACGCTTGGCCCATGGGAAATGCATGCACGGCGCTTTGAGCGTCGTCTTGAGAAAGGTCGTAATCTAGGGAGCGATAGACACATTATTGTGCACGTCGACAGCCAACCTACCTGCGACATGCCGCCTTCGCGGACCAGCATCGGCTTTTTCTTCCAGTGCTTCTCGAGCGCTTGCTCGGCTGCCTGAAAGTAGCGCTAGAAAGAAGGTACCGTTGTTAGCCATAGGGAGGTCGAGGAGGCAGAGTGTACGCTGTGGATGTCACCGAGCCACCACGGCACGTTCGTCTTGACGGTCACGGACAATGTGTTGGTCGTCGAGAGCAAGTCAAACTGCTTGCGAATATGCGCTAGCACGAGCCGCTCGATCTCGGCCGGCGACTGGTCGGGCACGGTCCGCAGCGTGAGCTCGGTCTGCGCCGACTTTGCAATGATAGACGAGTTGTCGATCGAGCCTTTCACGGACGTGACCGAGACGGCCGGGAAGCGCCAGCGGTTCATGAGCACGTCCACGAACGAGGCTTTCTCGTGGCTCCCAAAGGCTGGGAGAAGCGCAGGCACGCCGAGCGTCTGCTTGTACGCGTCGACGTCAAACTCGAGCGACTCGAAGAGCGCGATCTCGTCCTCCGAGACAGGGCGCACGGCCGCATAGAACGCGGGCTCTGTAAACCGTCCGGTCGTCGGGTCGACGATTCGGTTGAGCAGCGATACGACATCCAGCATGGGCTCGCGGATCGCGCCGCCGTCGACGCCAGCGTGGAGATCCACGCCGGGCCCGTCGACCTTGAGCTGGATCTCGAGGCACCCGCGCATGCCGTACGTCAAGCACGGCGTCGTGTCGCCGAGCCAATAGTTGTTGGAGATAAAGACCAAGTCGATCGGGCCAAAGTACGACAAGTTGTCTTCGACGGTCTCGCGGATGCCCTGCGATTGGTTCTCGCCCTCGCCTTGGTACAAAAACACAAAGTTGGGCATGTCCATCGAGAGCTTGGGACGCTTGGTCGACGCGGCGTCGTCAGTGTCCGTCGCTCGACCGCCTTGACTGCGAGCAATCAGTTCTCGAATTGCAAAGAGGGTCGCGATGATCGGGCCCTTGTCGTCGGTCGTGCCGCGGCCGTAGAGGTACCCGTTCTGGCCCGTCAGCATGAACGGGTTCGAGTCCCAGCCGTCTTCCATGCTCGCCGGTTGCACGTCACTAGATACGCTCCAACGCTTAGCCATGCTGTGCACGATGTCATAGTACGACGTACTAGTGGCCGCAAATGAGCACTGTTGGCTTGGTCGGGTCGTTCCCGAGCTTCCCAATCACGATCGGGTTGATGTTCGGACCGCAGTGCACCAATCGGCACTCGGCGCCGAGCTGCCGCAGCAAGCCCTACAGTAGTAGGGTCATGCGTGGGACGGCACTAGGGCGTCATGCTCTACCTTGACAAACTTGGCCGCCATCCAGCAGTCGTCGACCAAGTGCGGGTCGACGCTGACGCTCG